GCGCGCGCGCAGCCAGGGCGGCGCCACCGTCGCGCCGACGAGCGCGCGCTCACGCGGACGTCGCTCGCCGTCGTCGTGTCGTTCGTCGTCTGCTGCGCGCCGGTCGCCGTCGTCATGAACGCCGTCGCCGAGCGCGACGCGCCCTTGCTGCACGTCGCCGCGTCGGTGCTCACATGGACGACGGCCGTCGTCAACCCGTTCATCTACGCCTTCACGAACCGCAACTACCGCGGCGCCTACGCCGACCTGCTGCTCGCTGTCGCCGGCAGGGGGCGCGGCGCCACGCGGCCGCGCTGGGCGGGCGCCACGCGCGGCAAGCAGCAGCAGCAGCAGCAGCGATTGTCTGTGACGATCAGTCTCTCTGGTAACGAGGATCTGACGAGTCTCGGCATCTCGCTGTCGCAGCGCGCGCGCAGCCAGAGGTCAAGGTCGAGGTCACGGTCGGCGTCGTCGCCGCGCTCGCCGACGGCCGTGACGTCGGTGTGAACCCCCGGGGCGCGCGCGTCGGCGAACGGAGAGGCAACATTAAACGGGCGGGCAACATTAGACTGGTGACATTTGACGGCATCGCCCGGGCAACATCGAGTGAGAATCACTTGTTCTCGGCAGGGACGGATATGCAAGATGGCGCTTCCGCCATTCTGTGTTCATCGGGACAGAATCGGACTGACATTCCATTCCCCGAGCTTTCCACGCATAGAGATGAGCCGAGAGTGTCGAGGCTATTGCATCTACTGATAAGCGCCAGCAGTTACCCTAGCTGTTACCCTTACCACTTGCTGGAATATTCGCATGGTACATTTGGAGTACATCATTGAAGTTTTTTCTATAAAATCTTTTGTTTTTCGCGTCTTTTTCTTATGATGAGTGATCTCGGATTGTACTCGCATATCAACGCTAAACATCACACATCGCGCGTATATATATATATATATGTGTAACGAACTTCGGCTGCTATAGCCTCATATCCCCGCATCCTATCGTCCTGTCGCGTGTCTCAGCATGCCAGGTCGATGCACAGCATCCCTAGTGACTATGACAGCGAGCACATGATTCCCACCGGTTGTATGAAGGATACCTGTGGGGTGATGTGTGGCTTGTCATGTGATGTGCGTGACATAAAACATGACTTGATCACGCGTCTCTCGTGATGCATGATGGGAAGGTAAGAAGCCCTACCCACGCTGAGCTTGTGGTGTAAATACGGGGCTCTGCTCTCAGTAAGGCAGTATACGATCTGGAGCGACCGAGACGGGTCAAGCCAGCATTGCGGCCACATGCAGGAGCGCCTCATCTTCCCGGAGCAACTCACTACAGGGTGTTATCTAGTACTGTTTGGCTGTTCAATTCATTGTGTATATTTCTGCACCCCAGCGACAACGCTGTGTGGGATTTTGTGCACCATATTTTAGTTTACCTTAGTCTGTGGACCAATGCCGAATAAAAGCCCCGGGCCTATGTTTTTTCTCTCTCTCTCTCTCTCATTTTCTCTCACTCGCACCCTCTCTCTCAGACATACACACACACGCGCACATACCTACACCCACACGTACATGCACATACGAGTGCACACACGCCCACACACACACGCACACGCACACAGACACGCCCACGCACGCACGCTCACACACACACACACACACACACACACACACACACACACACACCACAACACACACACACACACCACACAACACACACACACACACGCACACGCACACACAGCACACGCACACACATGCACACACACACGCGCGCACGCACGCACGAACGCACGCACACACACGTATACACATACACGTATACACACACCCGACCCACCACACACACGCACACACATACACACCACACACGCTGCGCACGCACGCAGCAAACACACACACACACCACACACACACACATCACACACACACACACACACACACACGTATATATATATATATAGATACACACACACACACACACACACACACACACACACACACACACAAAACACACACACACACATACATACACACACACACACACACACACACACACACACACACACACACACACACACACACACACACACACACAATTAATGATCTAATAGCTGTGTTTATCCGAGACCGTGTAATATCCCTGCGCGCAGTATTCGAAGTATTCTAATAATCGTCTTCTCCATTAGCAACGTAAAATGGCAGAGGCAATACCTGACACTGCTGCTGCTGCTACTACTACTACTGCTGTAACAGTGCGGCGCGTAGAGTTTGTAATTAGTAAAAGTAGTGTATAAGAATTATACGTGATTTTTTTGTGCGTAGCCGTCAACATGATTACGTGTATAAACGTCCACACTACAGATAAGCGCGTAAACCCAGATGCAGACACGTACGTACGTACGCGACGTGGTGCAGTGCGCTACAGGCGAGTGGCGAGGGGACGCCTTTCGGCCTGCAGTGGCCTTGGGGACACCTGATGTGACGTCACCCCGCTGGTCATATATATATGACCACACCTTGGGAGCTCTTTCAGTTGCGGGAATTTTACTATTTCACAATTACGCGCACAATTACTATTCATGTATTAGACTACGTTTCCGGACTCTTGCTCACGCGTAGCGTGAGCAACAATGAATCTTGGTGCGTGGAAGCTCATTTAGACTTAGGAAATTATTTGTGTGATCGCATTTCCTTCAAGCGCAACGCAACACGAACGAACTGGGTTTCCTTTCAACCGCAACAACACAACACAACACAAAACAATAACGTAAAATGGCAGAGGCAATACCTGACACTGCTGCTGCTGCTGCTGCTGTTGTTGTTGCTGTTGTTGCTGCTGCTGCCACCGCTGCTGCTACTGCGGCTGCTACTGTTGCTGCTGCTACTACTACTACTGCTGTAACAGTGCGGCGCGTAGAGTTTGTAATTAATAAAAGTAGTGAATAAGAATCATACGTGATTTTTGTGTGCGTAGCCGTCAACATGATTACGTGTATAAACGTCCATACCTACAGATAAGTGCGCAAAGCCGGATGCAGACACGTACGTACGCGACGTCGGTGCAGTGCGCTACTCACAGGGCAGCTGCGAAGGGGACGCCTTTCCGGCCTGCAGTGGCCTTGGGACACCTGATGTGACGTCACCCCGCTGGTCATATACATATGACAACACCTTGGGAGCTCTTCAGTTGCGAATTTTACTATTCACAATTACGCGCACAATTACTATTCATGTATTAGACTACGTTTCCGGACTCTTGCTCACGCGTAGCGTGAGCAACAATGAATCTTGGTGCGTGGAAGCTCATTTAGACTTATGAAATTATTTGTGTTATCGCATTTCCTTCAAGCGCAACGCAACACGAACGAACACTAAACTGGGTTTCCTTTCAACCGCAACAACACAACACAACACAAAACAATAACACAACGCAAGGTTCAGAACATTACTACCTATACGATCACATCAACTGGCACACCGAACTGGAAACTTAATCGACGAAGTTTCATTGGCCGTTCGACAGGATTCGTGTGGAAGGAAACATCACACAGAAACATTAATAGTGAAATCGTCAGCATCATCGTCAGCGTCTCGTAGCGTCAGCGTCGGCAGAAACAGCGTCGTCAGCACCGTAGAGGTTAGATCGCACGTCTGCACCGCATATAGAACTGTATCAGCGACAGCGTCAGCGTCAACGTCAATCGCCGCAACGTGAACACCAGCGTCATCGCCAGAGTCAGCAGTAACAGTAACAGCAACAACAGCAGCGACAGCCGAGTGACAGCAGAGGCATCGTCAACGTCGACAGAGGCGGTGTCGCCAACACAGCAGCGGCAGTAACGACAACAGTGATAGCCACCTACACATCGCAGCATAGACGCCGTTTCATATTGTAATCAGATTCTCTGAGGAGAGAATAACCTGGCGCACGAATAATGAAGAACAAATCGAGGCATAACGGATGCAGATTCAACCAGAGAGATACAAGATGGCGTTGCGCAATAAAAAGATGCGTTGTTCCCGACTGCCGACGAGCCGGTTAAGTCCGCTGCACTTTCCGTGACTCTGGCGGTACGCGACCGCGGGGGTGTTGTATGCAGTATCTCGCGCTGCCCGCATACGAATTCGCCAGCGCCGAAGGAGGGCGGCGCGCGAATCCGTTTAGCGGCGCGCGTAACATTGCGCGTTTTCTGTCAGGATTGGGGGGTGGGGGAAGGTCAGTGAACAGTAGTTCAGTTTTCGTCAGACGTACTACCGGCTTGGCTACGGCGGGCCTTGGGGCGACGGGAATTTTCTTGACTTGCTGCTGCTTTGCTGCTCCAGGGCGCGCTGGCAGCCAGGCGACCAGTTATTGTGGCTGCTGAATGTGATTGGTCTTCTGCTGCAGGAGCGCGCGATGCAGCAAGAGCGATATTGCTTGCTGCTGCTGCTGCCTTTGCTCCTCATGTGACACGTATTTTCTCTGCTGCGCTGCCATGGGGCGCGCTGTTAGCATGTAGCCATTATGTACGTACGTAGTATTTAGCTACGTGGAAAAAACGGCAGCGCCCGGCGCCAGCACAATGCTCGCACAGACAACGGCAAACGCACACCGCACGCCGGCCTCACAGCACACACACAGTACACACACACTCACCACACACACATACACACACAGCACACACACACACCACACTACACAACACACACACAACACACACACACATTATCTAATTACCTTGTGTTTATCCGAGACCGTTTCGGTCTCTCTCGGCTA